CAAGTCACATCACCACATCTAGCTTCAAGAGGGAAGGAATGCCCAATCCGAACTGTGAACAAGTTGGAGGATGGGAACCATTTAGCAGAAATGCTTACAGTGCTTGTGAATGGAGTGGGGAGAGGCCTTCCCAGCTGAGGAAGGAGCATGAAAGTAGGACTTGTAGTGGGGAAGAACTTGGTTATTTAGGAAACTTAACATAGAACCATGTTGCTTAGATATAGTAAGTAGATGGAAAATGACCAGAGGAAGCAGTAGACAGTAAGGGGCTACATTAGGCAGATTTTTATAGGTTATGGTGGCACATGCCTGTAATCTCAGCATTCTAGCAAGCTGAGTCAGGAGAACTCAGTGAATTCAGTAAATTCAGTCTGAGGTATATAGGGATAGCCTATCTCAAAAAAGAAACTCATGAACAAAAATAAGCACCAAGGTATAAAAAATAAGAGTTTTAAGCAAAGGAACAGCATGTTATTGGAAATGTTTGTAAGTAAATATTATCTAATAACACAATTATTTTATGAAGAACTAATTAGAAGTTAAAATAATGTAAGGACACCAAACAGGCACATTTTCAAGCTTTCTTCTATCTTGGCTCTAAGGAAAAGTAAGCTGAGAAGAAAACTGATGGATATGAGGAAGTGATGAGTTGGTGGCAACTGAAAATTATTTCAGTGAGGGTCTTCAGCAAATGAGCTAGGAGAAAATGATCTAGTTCTCAGAAAGTACAATGCTTGAATTCATGACTTTGAATAAGACATAGTTTCTAGAGATGACAAGTTCCAAGGTTTACCCTTGAGTTTGGATGGTGCATATGGACAGAAAGAAATGAGGAAGTTCAATCTGAACAGGCCAAAGAAACAACAACTCAGGGAGTGTTTTGCCTGAGGATGTTATAGTTACCATGAACTTATGCCAAAAGAAGAGAATGTTTTCTGTGCTTGTATCAAATTACCACAAACAAAGTAGCTTAAGGCAAGGCAAATATTCACACTTCAAGAGATCAGAAGCCTAAAATAAATATCAATAATACCTGGAGGAACATACTCTCTCCAGAGGTTCTAAATAAGAATCTGATCTTTGACTTTCTAACTCTTGGTGGTTCCTGGCACTCTTGGGCTGGGAACACATCACCCCAGTTTCTGCTTCTGTACTCACACTGCTTTCTCCTCTGAATACCTTCTCCTCTTCTGTCTATATCAAATCTTCCTCTACCTCATCCTTAACCTACACTTATGATTACATTGGCCCACCTGGATAAAATCTGGCCCACCAGATTTTAACTACTATATCTGCAGACTGACATTTTCAAGCTCCGTGTCTTTGGCTGACCATTATTCAGCCTACTACAAAGGGAATAAATTGTGTGAAAATATTCAAAAGATGAGGAAAAGCGACTAAGAAGGTGGTAGATTGTGACCCTTAAGAAGGAGTGGAGCTGGGAACTAGGGGTTCATACCTATCATTCGAGCTACTCAGAAGGCTACAACCTGGAAGTTTGGAGTGCTAATCCAGCCTGGTCAGAAAATCCTGTAAAACTATTCTCAGCAACATGCTGGATTAGTGGTATGGCTCAGTGGAGGGTTGCAGCCATCTCTCTCCAAGAAAGCCAAATGAAAGCATGAGACCTGGAGTCCAAGTTCCAGTAATGGAAAAGGAGAAGGAAAAGGGAAGAAGAGGAGAAAAAGGAAAAGGAGAAAGAGGAGGAGGCAGCAAGTGGGAATATGGTTTTTTTTAATTGTGAAAATACTGTCCAGAGGGGTTACAATTACATGGGCAAGATAATGAGTACATTTCTTATCAAGCATTGTAGCCTCAAGTGAACCATGAAATAAGATTGCCTGAAAGGAGGGACTGCAGCCTAATGGAGAATTTATGTGATGTAAATCTAATCCCAGCAAAGTGCTGATGGCTCACACCTGTAATCCTAGCTACTCAAGAGGCTGAAATCTGAGGATCAAGGTTCAAAGCCAGCCTGGGCCAAAAAGTCTGTGAGACTCTTATCTTGAAAAAAACACCAGAAAACCAGAAGTGACGTTCAAAGTGATAGAGCGCTAGCCTTAAACTAAAGAACTGAAGGGCAGCACCCAGGCCCAGAGTTCAAGCCCCACAACTGACAATAATAATACTATTAATAATAACTATTATTATTAGTATTATGCCTCAAAAAATGAGTCATTCCTCAATCCTCTTTTTGTCTCTTTCTATTAGAGAGAGTGGAGTATCGCCTTCTCAGTCTCTTTTACAGAAGGTGACAATGATGTGACCTTGTCTAGCCAAGGAAACCTAAGAGGAATTCTGATGAGAGGACTTCTAGGTCAGCTTATGTTTTCCAGCTTACAGACAGAAGAGCTGCACAGATGCAGCTTATGCCCTCCTCACCCCATCCCACACACGCACACTTTATTCTTCCTTCCTTAAATAAAAGAAGCTGTGCTGGAACTGCCTAGTCCTTTTGCATAGGAATGATAAACCACACTTTGAGTTTAGGGATGCATTAGGATGAAAGGACACTGAGTCCTTATTGATGTTAGTTTGTAACTTAGAGTTTATTGTTGTGTGGAATCAAAGAAAAAAAGAAATCCAGTTGTTAAGCCTGTTACTTCAAACTAGAGACATTTCTAGCTTATATGGATGGTATCTCTGTGAGAGAGAAGAGCAAGTACTATCTTTCTGTTTTATGGTCTTTGTATCAGTCCTTTTTCTTTTTCTTTCTTTTTTTGTTCCTTTCTCTCTTTTGTTCTCTTCCTTTTTCCTTTCTTTTTCTGTCTTTCTCTCCTATCAGCCTTTCTGTCTGATTAACAGGAAGACAATGATAGAAGGAAGGAAGGAAGGAAGGAAGGAAGGAAGGAAGGAAGGAAGGAGGGAGGGAAGGAGGGAGGGAGGGAGGGAGGGAAGGAAGGAAGGACAGATGGGAAGGAGGGAGGAAAGAAAGAAAGGAAAGACAGAATGAGAAGGAAAGAAAGAAAAAGAAAAGGAAGGAAGGAAGAAAGAAAGGAAAGAAAAGAAAAAGGAAGAGAGAGAGAGAGAAAGGCAAAGAGAAGGACCAAAGTTCAGAGATGGAAGTATGGAAGAAAAGAGAGGGATAGAACAAAAACTAGAAGAAAGATAGGCAAATGTAAAGACAGACAGACAGGATGACAGACATACAGGAAGACAGACAGTGGGAAGGTGGCTTAGTGGTAGAGCACTTGCCTTGCATGCATGAGGCCCTGGGTTCGATTCCTCAGCACCACATGGGCAGAAAAAAAAGCTGGAAGTGGTGCTGTGGCTCAAGTGGTAGAGTGGCTAGACTTGAGGTGAAGAGCTGAGGGACAGGGCCCAGGCCCAGAGTTCAGGCCCACAACCTAACTCCAAAAAAAAAAAAATACAGAAAGAAAAGAAAAGAAGGAAGAGAAAAGCAGACAAAGGAAGAAAGACAAGGCAGAGAGAAGGACAGATGGACAAGAGAGACAGACAGAAGTCTAAAAGAAAAGAGAGGGAAAGAAAGACATACAAAGACATACAGAAAAGCTGACAAAAAATCTACAGAGAAAGATAGAAAGGCAGAGTGATTGATATATAAATAGTAAGACTAATAGGCAAACAGAATGACAGAAATACAAAGACAGACAGACAGACAGACAGACAGACAGAGAGGCAAACGGACTTTCTGACCAAAGCTGGAATTGGTTCCTTAGTAGTATGTACAAGATCATTTCTGCCCTTGGGAACATGCTAATCTGGTTGCGTAGAACAGAAAGTTACTATCACAAATGTAGAAAGGACATGATATGAAATATGTGAAATGATTGTGGAATCTTCTTTACTATAATAGAGCCATTTGTGTTGAAGAAGGGAATGGCAATCAATAGCATATCTAAAGTATTTAAATAGGAATAAACTTAACTTTTAGAACAGTGTTTCCCAAATCCAGCACTGTATTAGAATAAATCGAGAAGCTTTAAAAATACCATTGCTTTAGCCACATTCCAAACCAATGATACTGGATTCTTTGGGCATGAGACCTGGGAATTGGTCATTTTTAAATCTTCCCTGATCATTGCAACAGATAGCTTTAGAATGTATAACTCGAGAAGAAATATGCCAAAGCTGTGCTTCTCAAACTCAAATCAGATTTTTAAAAAACAGATTCTGATCAAGTGGGTATGAGGTAGGGCCAGAGATTCTGCATCCTAACACGTTTCCAGAGGGTGCTGATGTTGTGGCAACAGGGGGTGTACATGGAGCAGCAAGTCATTAAAAGTAGTAAGTAGGTTCCATATCACACAGTAAAAGTAGACATTGGACCTAGCATTTATTGAGCACACATTATCTCATATCTCATTTAATCTTATCACACAACCATAGAAGTCAGACACTGGTAGCTAATGCCTGAAACCCTAGCGACTCAAGAGGCTGAAATGAGGGGATTGAGATTCCAACCCAGCCCAGCCAAGAAAAAAGTCTGAGACACTCCATCTCCAAATATAACCAGCCAAAAGCCAGGCTGCAGGTATGGCTCAAGTGTTAACACCTGGACTGTAACATAACCATGTCTGACAGCAGAGCTAATAGGTGAATTGAAATTTCTGGCAATTCTCAACTGCAAAGCAAAAGTGTTTACATTTTCTGAAATGCTAGGCAATATATTTGTAGGGGCAAACTTCGTGGAATCGCTTAAGGAAAACTCCAGTGCTTCCAGACCCTGTTATTTCATATAGTATTATATCTAGGAAGGCAGAGAACATGGTCCTTTGTATGCCTCCATACTGCACCAGTGCTCCAGGGTTACAGTGCTGGTGGAGGACGTCAAAAGTAAAACACAAACCTATTTTTTCATTGGTCATACCAAAGGATTGTTGATGGTGTTGAGAGAAATTGTATTTCCAAAAAAGAAAGAAAGAAATATATTTGGCAGTGATTCCTTGATTCAAATATTCTTTCAAAATGAAAATAACATTTCATAAATATAGATAGCTCTGCTCCTATTCATAAAGTGATTTTTTTTCTCATTCCAGGAAGCTGAAAAATGAGCTCTTAGAAGCAAAACGTAGAAGTGGAAAGACTCAGCAGGAAACCAGCAGAGTCTGTGTTCACTGTCAAAGAAACCTGGGCCTAATCTTTGACCGGGGAGACCCATGTCAGTCCTGCTCCCTTAGGGTGTGCAGTGACTGTCGGGTAGTGGGACTGGATGGCAGCTGGAAGTGCACTGTCTGTGCCAAAGTCGCGTGAGTTTCGCCCTTTTTCCTGGAAAATTGAAATTGGATGACTGAAGGGATTGGAATGGGGGAAACAGGAAAGAATTTGTAAGAAATATTTAATTTTTGTAATATTTAAAATGTAAGGATCGAGAGTAAAGTTAAAAGTATAATCTAACTATAGGCTTGGGTCCTGTGTGTGTGACAGGACGAGGAGAGAGAGAGAGAGACAGAGAGAGAGAGAGAGAGAGAGAGAGAGGAGAAAGAAGAAAGCTAAAATATTTCCTGAATTTCCTTCAAACCTACTTGTCTCTGAGAAAGGGCCAAGGGAAGGAGCCTTAGCTGAAGCGGGGCAAGGGTGTAAGGGGGGGGCGCGAGGGGGGGGAGAAGTGGGGCATGGATTTCATTCTAGTAACTTGGGTATAGATCACAATCATTGTTTTCTAAGCATATTGTCTAGCATGTCATTCTCCTCCAGACATCCCAGTTTCCTCTTCTCAGGGGAGCTTGACATTGATCTTTTCCTGTGGTTGAAGTGGAGGGTATTGAAATCAAGTTTGTTTGGTATCTCTTTTCCCTTCACTGTCTTCCTTTTATTGGTGTTTAAAAGGTTATCTTGGGAAGAAAACTGAATAGTGTGACCTTCCTTTTCTGATTTCTGTGAATGAAGAACACTGTTCTGTTGAAGGCATTTGTATTTTGTGATTGCATTACTTAACCAGATAATTTTCCTGTATTGTTTCATAAAGGTGACCCTGAATAGGACAATTCATACTATGTTTCAACACTGGATTGAATTAGCAGTTCAGAATAAATGGATTTTATTTATTTATTTATTTTAATATATATTTTTTACTGTAAAGATACTGTACAGAGGGGTTACAGTTACATAAGTAAGGAAATGAGTACACTTCCTATTGAGCATTTGTTTTTCCCCTGCCATCCCTATTTATTTATTTTATTACTTACTTTGGCTATATCACTTTGATTTACGTAAGTGATTACCTTCAATTCTTGGTCCATATAAACGAATTTCATTTTAGTATCTCCCTCAGCCCCATTTGCAAACATCCTTGAATGGTGACAAAATCATTGACATATGAGGTTCATCATAACCTTTTACTGATTTGAAAGTTTTTTATTTATTTGAAATACAAGTCGTGTTGGTTACTTATGTTGCAAGTATCTTCTCTCACCTTCTGACTTGGCTTTTTCTCTTTTAATGGTGTCATTTGGCGAACAGAAATCTCTTTCAGTAGTTTATTTATATTTCCTATATCATTAATGGAATTTTTCCTTTATACTGTTAAGAACAGTGTGACACTTAAATCATAAAATAATCTCCTATGCAGTCTGCACTTGTACTATTTTACCTTTACATTTATAATCCACCTCAAATTGACTTCTGTATAGGAACTGATTTATGTGTTTTAAATGGAAGTTATGCAGTAGTTGTTTTAGTAGCTACTGTTTTTGGTTAATTATGTTGTTCAACGGTTTTATCTCTTTGTTCATTTTTAAATTAAATATTCACTCCGAGATATGCTAAATTCTATCAAAAATAACTGGACTTTTTATTTATCCATTCAATTCTGATTAATTTTGCCCATATGTTTAGATTTACTACATAACCATCCTTTTTATGCTCTGTATACTTTGCTATACCTGTATGTTTCAATTTGGATATTTTTTTCTTCCACCCTCAGGAGTACCCTTTAGCATTTACTTTTTAAAATGTTTTTATTATCTTTAAGCAGTTGTAGAAAGGAGCTGCCATCCAACAAAGCAGTTTATGAAAACTGTGTGTTGATCAGTCACCCATTTCAATACTCACGGGTCCCTCCTAACCTATCCCTTCCCTCACTTTTCTTAATTTTTAGGTTATGCAATGCTCTTTTTTTGCCATTTAACAGAATAGTTTATATATAAAATTCATCTCGATAGTATTTGCTTAGGTATAGTTCTACTAGTGATGAATACTCTATAAAGTTTTTTTTCTCAGCCAGATGCCAGTGGCTCATGCCTGTAATCCTAGCTACTCAGGAGGTTGAGATTTGAGGATCATGGTTCAAAGCCAGCCCGGGCAGGAAAGGCTGTGAGACTCTTATCTCCAATAAACCACCAGAAAACAGAAGTGGCTCTGTGGCTAAGTGGTAGAGCGCTTGCTTTGAGCTGAAGAGCTGAAGGACAGCGCCCAGGCCCAGAGTTCAAGCCCCATGACCAACCAAAAAAAGATAAATAAAGTTTTTTTCTTAATACAGTTGTATTTTGTTCTTAGTTTTTAAACATTTTCATAGGTTATTGTATTCAGCATTTTAAAACTTAAATTTGTTTTAAATGATATCTAAAATCATAATAGATGTGGTACTATGTAAATGTTTCAAGGTATATATTTATTGTATAATGTTTAAATAATTTAAACCTATCTACTTCCTCAAACACTTATTAGTTCCTTATAGTAAAAACCCTCAAAATTCTGTAACATTGAAAAATGTATAGTACATTATTGTTGTCTATACTGTATAACAATTCCCTAGCCCCTCTCTCTCCCTCTCCCTCCCTCTCTCCTTCTTTCCCTCTCTCCCTGTCTCTCCGTTTTTCCCTCTCTCCCTCTCTCTCCCTCTCTCTCATCTCTCTCTGTCTCTCTCCTCTCCCTCTCTCCCTCTCTCCTTCCTCTCCCTCTCCCTCCCTCTCTCTCCCCCTTCTCTTCCTCTCCCTCTTCCTCCCTCCTTCTCTCTCTGTCTCTCTCTCTGTGTCTCTCTCTCTCTCTGCCTCCCAAGCATAAAAAATAAACTATAAAAAAAAAACAATTCCCCAAAGCTTCTTGTTCCTACCAAACTGTTACTAATCAACTGCCTTCTTTTTTGCAGGGGGTGGGGGAACACGTCCATCATGGACTTGAACTCAGGATCTGGGGCACTATTCCTGAGCTTTTTCCCTCAAGACTAGCACTCTACCACTTTGAGCCACAGCACCACTTCCAGTTTACTGGTGGTTAATTGGAGATAAGAATCTCATGGACTTTCCTGCCTGGGATGGCTTTGAACTGTGATCTTCAGATCTCAGCCTCCTGGGTAGCTAAGATTACAGGCATGAGCCACCAGCACCTGGCTTATCAACAGTCATTGATCAAATTTTCCCCCTCCCTCCTCCTCAGTACTCTCCCCAACCTCTATAACTACCATTCCACTCTCAACTGTGACTCTGGCCTTTTTTTAATACCACATAAGACAAATCATGCAGTACCTGTCTTTCTGTGACTGACTTATTTTACATTATGATCTCCAGTTTCTTCTATGTTGTGAATGACAGTATTTCATTCTCTTTATATCTAAATAGTATTCCATTATGTATAGGGACCCACACTTTCTGTACTCACTAACTTGTGTATACTTAGGTAGATTCCATTTATTGGCTGTTATGAATATGCTGTAATGAACATGTGAATGTGCTGCAATGAGTTCAGAGATCTCTTTGATATGCTGATTTCATCTCCTTTGGATACATGCCTGGTAGGGGGATTTCTGGATCTTGTGGTAGTTCTATTTTGAATATTATGGAGAACCTCTGTATTCTTTTACACAAATTTCACTGATGATACTAGGTGGAAAGTTATTAACTTTCAGTAGGTTGCAGATTCCATTTGCTTCTGCTTCCTAATATTTCTGTTATGATAGCAGATAGCAGTGCAGAGTTACTTCTTCAATGGTTTTTTGTTGTTGTTGTTGTTTTTACTATTTCGCCATTTTCTACTGGGTTTTTTAACAGTTTCTATAGCATGCCTCAATCTGGTTTTCTTTGTATTTCTCCATCTTGATGTTTCTAAAACATCTTATATATGTGCCTTAATGTCTTTTGTCCTATGTGACAATTTCTTACAAAGTAGCTCTTCGTTTCTTCTCCTCTATTATCTCCTTTACTCAGCTATCCCAAATATATGTTAGTCATATTCGATATCTTTTGTGTATCTCTTGGGCTCTGTTCTATATTTTCTATCTTTGTATATGTTTAACTTCAATTTGCATAAACATTTTTGCCTATCTTCAAGTCCATGAATCTGTCGTTGGATATGTCCAATTTGCTGTTAAATCCATCAATTTAATCCTTAAATTCAGTTGTTTGGTTTGCAGTTTTGGAATTTCCATGTTATGCTGCATCTCTGCTGATGTTCTTCTCATCCTTTGCTTACACTTTCCTCACTAAATTATTTACAATTATTCTTAAATAGAGGAATTTTGGTTCGTTATTTGAGTCCCTTTCAAACTGCTTGGATTTTTAGTTATTTCTCTTGTTTTTGCTCATGCTTTCTTCCCATAATCCTGATAGTTTTTGACTGACTGTCAAAACTTATAAAAATAATAAATGTCAGTTATACCTTAAAACATTTATCTATGGTGAATGTATTCATAATTACATTAATCAAGTCAGAAACTGAACAAATTTCAAAACGGAGGTCTCAATCCCCACAAGAGTTGATCTGTTTCTGTATAACATTTACTCCTAGGCAATAGTCCTTTAGGGTCTCATAGCATACCTATCAGGTAAGGAAGACAACTGGTTTTCCATTATATAGATAGTGAAAATAAAAACAATAGGCGAATGTATATTTATAGAGCTGGGGTTGTATCTACTTTTTGTGTGTATTGCTAAAGGTCAAACCTAAGGCTTGAACATGCTAGGCAAGTGCTCTACCCCTGAGCTACATCTGTAGTCCTTGGTAATTTTGGAAAAGAGTCTTTCTATATTGAGCACACTGACCTCAAACTCATGTTCCTCCTAAGTAATTAAATTGTAGGTGTGTACTACCATGCTAGATGCAAATATCTAAGTTTGTTTTCTTCAGCTTTTTTCCACAAGACTATGTCAAGTTTATATTTGATGCTTTAGGATAAGAAGGAAGTGAAAAGAAACAACTGATGTTCCATTTGCATAGTATCAGGTCTGATAGGAGATATCCAAATAACTATTTATCCAATTTTGTGCAATACTATTTTATTTGATGCTTACTATTCATTCTTTTCTATTTTTAT